GAAGTCAAAGGCAGCATAATCTGGGCCTGAGAAACTGGGAGAATAAAGTTGTCATTACCAGAAATGAGCAAGTCAGCTGGATGAGCAGGATTGGGAGAAGACTGATGACACGATCAGCTTCGAACATACTAAGTTTTGAAATACGGATTAGAAATCCAAGTGGAAATGCCAGTTAGGTGGGAGGATATACAAATATGAAGTTCAAGGAAGAAGTCTGGGCGACATATGAATATAAGAGTTGTCAGCATATAAATAGTATTTATAACCATGAGACACTAAGGAAATTCATGTCGATAGAAAAGAGGCACCAGGACTAAATCCTGGGCAGCCCAGGACTGAGTTTGGGGACATGAGAGGAAGGTAGTAAAGGATACTGAGAAATAGCCAGTGAATCAGAAATGAAGACCAGGAGCTTATTCTTGAAGTTGACTTTTTAAGAAGGCGGCGTGATCAACTACGTTATATACTGCCAAAGGGCACATCATCTGAAAGAACTGAGAATTGGCTACTGGGATGAGGCTACTGAGATTGGCTACTGTGGAGGTCCCTGATGGCCTTGATAAGAGGAGCTTTCTTGGTGAGCTAGAGATGAGATGAGAGTCCAGCTGGAGTGGATTTATGAGAGAATGGGAGGAGAGAAATTTTGGAAATAGAAGAAGTAACTCTTTTGGAGAGTTTTGCTGTAAAGTAGAGCAGAGAAATGGGGCAGTAGCTGGAAGAAAGTAGAAGTCAAGGGGAAAAAAATTAATGGGAAAAATGGTAGCATATATGTATACCGTTGTGGGTGCGGGGATGAGGGAGGGGAGGTAGGTATTTACCATACAGGAGATAAAGGACAGAATTGCTGGCACAGGGTCCTTGAATAGGTGAGAAAGGATAGGAGTGTGTGCACAGATGGAGGCGCTGACCTTAGATGGCAGCAGGGCAGGTCAGTGTCAGCAGCAGAAGGAGGACATGGCAATGGGCCTGGAGGTGGTTAGCAGAAACTTCTGATTATTATACCTCTGTGTTCTCAGTGCAACAGGAAGCAATTTTATCAGCTGAGAATGAGGATGGTGAGAGGGTCTTAAATGTTTAGAGAAAGAGAGAAGTTCAAACAGTTGGCTTGGAAAGTGGAAGAGTGAACCATTTCTCTAATCTTAGAGAAATGTGGCAGATGCTGAGGTACAACTTGAGTCTGTGACCGTGAGTGGATGGTGAGACTAGACAACAGACTTGGATATTTTTCTAGCAAGGTTCAGTGGCAGATGTGTAGCCAGGAATTAAAAAGAAAGCTGGAGTCAACCAGGATTGGGACTTTGCCACGCAGATACCACGAAGAGAGGGATATGCAAAGGATTCAATAATGTATACAAGTGAATGGTTACAGCGATGGACTGTTGAGCTCAAGCTGAGTAAGAAGGGAAGTAAGGACATGAGAGGGAGTGAGAAACAGTAAAAGAGGCATTGAATTTGTAAATTGTGTGTCCCAGTGTGGTTGGAAAATTACTTGTTTTAGGTATCACACAGAGAGAGCTAGAAAGAGAGGAGGTAGTGATTGAGAAGCGTGATGCTGGAATTTGAGATTTTAGACATGTTTCAGGAATAGGTGAAGAAAAAGTCTGGAGGTATGTTATGGGCTGATTGTGTCTCTCTTAAATGCATATGTTGAAGCTCTAACCCCCCATCATCTCAAATGGGACTATATTTGGATAGGGCCTTTAAAGAAGTGATGAATTTAAGACGAGGCCAGCATGGTAGGGTTAATCCAATCAGATTAGTGCCCTTATAAAAGGAAATATGGACACACAAAGAGATTCCAGGAGTGCAAAGAGAAAAGACCATGTGAGCACACAGTGAGAGGTGGCTATCTGCAAGCCAAAGAGAGAAAGGTCCCAGGAGAAACCAATCTGCCAACACAGATTTGGCACATAATCTACAAATCTGACTTGACCTTGGCCTTCTGGCCTCCAGAACTGTGAGAAAATAAATGTCTTTTGTTCAAGTCACCCAGTCTGTGGTGTGTCACTATGTCAGTCCTAGTAGGCTGACACAAGGTGTGACCCTGGGAGTGAGTAGCGTAGGGAGGAGGAGCGAAGTTGCATAGGGAGGTGGAGGACAAGATGACTGGCGAAAAGAAATGGAAAGGGCTGTGTATTGGAGCAATCATTTATAATGAATACTAAAATCAACAATTAGACAATGTCAGTTTGGGAGAGAATGACTACACTTAGAAAGCCAGGTGCTAGACTCTTCAAGGAATGAAAGAAAGTAATCTTGAGGGGCACTGAACTGCAGGTGGGAGATGAAAATATCATCCAGCACTGAAATGTATAACTTCTTAAGCCAATAGTCACCATGCCCCTTCCCAATGATTTTTAAGCAGAGCTTTAAAATAAATGAAAATGTTTGATTTGGCTCTTAGTTTTCCTCAATGTGAAACCTCTTCTCATAGAGGTTCTAACAGGCACCGAAATGAGAATAAAGAAGGCGTGGGGGCAGAATAATCGCTGAAGGGGGTCATTGGCTACCAGGAAACCCAGAAGTAGCTGTGTTCTACCAGACATACTTGCAAGGTTTTAAGGAGGTTTAACTTTATTGAGATTTGATTTTAAAAAATGTTTTTATTGCCAATATTTTGCACTTTGGAGAGCAATGGCTAAGATTACGTTTTGTTAATGTTTGTGGGGAGCAGAATCATTGATACAGGTTAGCTAGATAGATTACTGATGTTTGCTGTGGGGATGGGGTCACAGAAAAGTAACATGCATGGCTAGTATTCCTTAGTCTTTGTTCAGCCCCAAACGATGTGTGTACTGATGGTATCATGTCACAGGTAGTTATGAAGACTTGGTGAGGAAGTACACGACCAATTGCTATTTGGAAGACTGATCCAGAGGAATGACAGAAGTGAATGAAGAGAATATTACTGGCTGGAAAACGTGATAAAATTGTGGAAAAGGGAGTTGAGTAATTTCTTTC